CCCCTATAGGCGAAGTTTCATCGAAAATAAAAATTTTGATTTTTTGGGGGTGTAATAGTAGAATAGTACCCGCAAAAATTATCGTGTCACAACACCAGCGTTGGCACTGTGTTGAGATAGCAAAGAGGCAGTTGTCGAATAAATATGTCTATGAAAACAAAAAACCAAAAAGAAATAGCATCCGATGCGGTCCAGAAACTATGTGCCGACCCTATCAGAAGTGCTTTTCGTGCTCATCTTACGGTTCAGAACGGATGCTAAATTTTTTTTTCAGAAAAATTGTCTCTTTAAATAATGATTTCACACAGTTTGGAGTAACGGTCATATATCTTCTTCTAGCGGCAAAAAATATCCACGATATGGTCAAGGTGAGGACATGGAGATATTTTACGATGAAATTTTCGTCTAACAACAATTTTCAAGACATTTACCGACACGGAGTTCAGCTACTGCTTTGTAATTTTGATACTCGCAGCGTGTCTTCTCCCAGTCACTTATCTGAAGTCTCCGGAAGACTTCTGGTCAGTTGCTTCTAACCTAATACTGGAAGTTAAGATGTGAACTTTTCTAATACCTATGAATAAAGGTGCTGGAATTGTTCAAATTTCGTGTTAGCATGAATACTCGATATCAAACATAATAAAAGGGGAAAAGTCCACAGACATTAAAATTGGCTGTTCAGGATTGCAGTAATGATTGCAATGTTCACAACAGCAGCAGCCGTCACCCTTGTCATTCTAGGAATCTCTCTGGACTACGGGTTATGTTCAGGTTATACGTAAGTGAGCTTCATGGTAATGCTGTTAGGAAAAAGTGATCATGATCCCATTCATGATTCCAGAGGTGTTCCACCACTCAGGGTGAAGAACTTCTTCGTGTGTTTGGGTACAGTGATATTCGCTTGTGGAGGTCATGCCGCATTTCCTACAATCCAACACGACATGAAGAATCCGGGAGATTACAGCAAATCAGTCTTCACTGCCTTTACTTGTGAGCAACGCCTTTGCATTTGTTATTAAGGATTAGGTCGAAATAGTACGAGGGCAGCTCTCACTTGAATACAATCTCTCAAGAATCGAATCGAGTACTACTCAATTCCGACTCAAAGTTCATCCCTTACTGCACGCTGCAAATAGCAAATCAGCGGATTTTCAAAGTTAGCTTGCTGCTCTCCATCGTATCCGTCGATTCCATTCAAATGTGCACACCTAAACTTAAAAAGTTTTTGCCATTGATCTTAATCATTTTCCATTTGAGCTAGTAGTTATTCTGGGAACAAAATCTTCAGAAGGCAAGGTTTCCTGTGTATTGTACGGTGCTAGATAAAAAAAATTGCCACTAGTATCGGTTTCCGAACCATAGCAAAGCTTCCCGGGGTTTGCATCCTGTTGTCTGCAATGAAGATTCACGTTACAAAGGTATTTTCAGTGCTCTTATTATTGTATAGCCCTATAACCATATTGGGCTACCTGACTTACCATGACTCCATCAGAGACTCCATACTCCCGTCGATTCAGGTAAGCTTGCAAGATTAATTTTTCCTAAACAGTCTGCATAACTGTATAGACACTAGTTTGAAATTTTTTGTCAAAGCAGCTGTAAAACAATCCTGATTGCACGATTAAGATCACTTTAGTTAACTCATCGTTTTTAGACCGAATGGATGCGACAAGCGTCCAATGTCTTGATTACTATTCACTGCATTCTGACAATAACCATCGTTATCAATCCACTGAATCAGGATCTCGAGGACCTCTTCCATTGCCCACATCGTTAGTTCATTATTAGCTTTGAATAGCCCTAGCGATTTCTAATTTATCGCTTACAGATTTCGGTTGGCAGCGAGTGCTGCTTCGAACAGGGACCATGCTAGCGATAGTATTTGTCGGAGAGAGTATTCCTAGTTTCGGCCCGATATTGGATCTTATTGGTTAGTCCGAATAGGATCTGTATTTAATCAAAAAAAAAANTGGATCTGAAATCCTACGTACATGTTCCCGAATGCTGATCGCAAATTTCTATTTTATTGCTTAACATGGGCAAACGGTGCCNAAAAAAAAAAACAAAAACAATTCCAAACACTTACATGGACTGAAAGGTTAATGATCTCTCTCGCGACCTCACTAGCGTCTGACCGAACCTTCTATGAAGGAAACCTCAAAAAAAAAAGAGTAGTGCTAAGGAAGTCGAAATGTCATGACTTGGTCCTAGCCGTATCAATGAAAAGGAACTACGGCCGACACCAGCTAAAATTCAAGCGGGACTTCATTTTCAGCGTGCAGAATCTGCACTCGAATGAGTACAACTGGTGTTCAGGTCCGCAAACCTGATCGCGAAAAAAGCTGGAAAAACACTGGTGCCCGTTGAGAGTACCGTTTTTCCACACAGTCCCACCAGAGAGGTTACTAGATGCGATCAATGGACTACACCACTGAGTCTACACAGCCATAAACTACAGAGCGTGATTTCTTCTAGACCACAGTCTTTCTGAATTGTGGTTGCGATCGCGGAAGTCATTGTAGTACATAGATCGATACAAGACCAAGTTTCAAATGTAAATTGTAATAATACATGAGCGTAACTCACAGCAGGGCGGACGTTCGCCAGTCTGCAGCCCCTAGTTTCCCCGCACTCGGGTTGTGTCAAATTCTTTTTAAGAAGTTTTTGAATACTGGTCCTCTCCATAGGTTCAGGTTCAATGGAAAACAGTTCTTCCCTCACCCTCACTTAGATTTTGAGACTGATTTTCGAGCTCCACGTATGTCCTGGTACATACTGGAATTCTAACAGTGCCTCCCAGGTTAGGGCTCGCGCTCGCTCCTTGAGTTCAGCTGCTCCGATGCTGAATAGGTTCATCATGCCTTGGACATGGCTTGTCCCTACCGATTCTGTACGATCTCCAATTTGCTTGGAACCCAGTCGTGCACTTAAGTTGGAAGAATGCCCATCTGAACATCACAAGCAGAGGAACTTCTTAACATCTTCCACTAACAGAGTATTTTTCAAACCCATTTTCAGCGACACCACCAAAACCCCCCTGCGCGACTAGTATGCAATCACTTGACTTGAACTGATTGTCTTCAGTAGCAGGAATCTTGTATTTGGTCCATTACCGATAAGTTCCATGTGGCAGCTAACTCCAAAACTATTCCTCATCAAAACATTTTGCATCTTCGACTGTACATCAACCATGCTTCTCGATGTGTGCTTGTTTTAGGTGGATCCACGCAGACATTGGCTTCTGTCATTTTTCCTGTTTTATTTTATGTCCACTTACTTGCTCGACAAAAGAAAGCTGAGGTGTGCGATAAAGATGATGATTCTCCCCCTAGCCTGCGAGAGTAAGTCTGTTTCCACTATCGTTTGTCATCTTATGTGATATATGAAACTCGGCATTTTTTCAGTGTTTTCACTTATGCTCCGCGTAAAACATTAATCCTGTGTATCTGTATAGCAGGTGATTTTTTGCTAAAGTTCGTATTTCCTTTACATCTTCGCACTCCCGTACCCTTTAAATAGCTCAAATAGTTAAGATAAAGTCCACAATCACAAGCTTAACGTGGATCCTTCTCCTTCTTGCACGCTGTGGGCTCAGCGCAATTACAACAGAACACATTACATTCAAGCGTGTGAGCAAATAGCAGACAACCATATATGGCCAGTGAAAGAAGACTCTAGGCGCAGTAGCCATTGGATCTGAAATCCTACGTACATGTTCCCGAATGCTGAATTTCTATTTTATTGCTTAACATGGGCAAACGGTGCCCGATATACATATCCGCTCGGCGCAAATCTTACCATGGAAGGAAACCGCCTTCATAGCCTTGTTACCAAAACAGTTTGGCTGCTTTCAGAGTTCAGTGACGTTACCGACGACTGACTGACGACGGCGCTGGCCACTATTGACGACGCTAGACACCAATGGATCGCGCGCCTTCAAGAGTCATGCGGCTTTCGACGCAATCTGACTAACGTCGTTAACGCGTGGCCAGCAACGGCGTCGGTCGGTCGGTCTGTTGGTCAGTTCGTCGGTCGTTGAACTGGCTGCTTTCAGAGTCCGTCGGTGGGCCCTGCTAACGCGCGAGCGAACGTTCCGGTCGGGGTGGCGCTAGCCACTTGTTGAAAACACTGGGCGCCGATGGATTACGTATTGTCAACAAGTGGCTATCGCCACCGCCGGCCGACACGCGCGTCCCAGGGCCTACGGCGGACTCTGAAAGCAGCCTTTTGCAGATTCGAGATCAGCGTTCGAAAACACATACCACGTTATACATGTAATACTGAGTGGTTACTGCGAACTAACAATGTTAGCCACCAAGCATTATAGTTTGCCTATTCCGCTGTGCTCCATTAGCTCTTGATTTCAGTGCTTGGCATTATCGGAGGTGCAGCCGCCACCTTTTCTGCAGTGATTGAACTATCAACCACTCGCTTTTCGTTACCCTGCTACGTCAATCTATTCATTGATGAGGTAACCCATTTTGCAGTCTTAAAATGTAGTAGCATGATATTTGACGGCTAAAACAACCAGGTGTCTGGAGGGGTTTATGACAAAGCTCAGTGACAGTGAAAAGGGTAGTTTGCCAGGTATACAGTAGCTACCAAAAGTCTTCGGTGAAACGTTTTTCCAATGGTAACTGTTTTCCTACTTAATAAAATCATATGAAATTTCAGTATTTTGATCAAAGGCATATCGTGAATACTTATCGCTATTAAACCGCAATTTCCTGTTGTTCACGATACGATTAACTCAAATTCAGTGGAAAAATAGAGATAGCATCGACCTAGCAAAAACCGCTTTATTTCGGAATAGCAACATGTAAAACATCAAAAACATCGATATTCGGTAGAAAAGCCTCGGCTGCTGATTATAGCATCGCAATGGGAGGATGTCGAGTCGATTAGGTTTGAATAGAAGACACTGGCACGACGTTCCCCCCCCCCCCCCCTCGCTTATTAGGCGAACTTTTCCTCACTGCTTTAACAAAGTTTGCTCGAAAAACGCTTTTTGAGCTCTCTTGACATGTGCTCTATATGATTCATATCCGATGACTGACTTGAACTCTCCAGAAGTATGGTTCGCTGTTCGCTGAAGGCCGCCTTTGCAACTATTTAGAAGTGTTTCGGATCGTTATCCTGCTGCAGTATCTATCCTGCTGGCATATGATGCTGTGCAGGCGGCATGACGATGTCGACAGTCATGTTCTTGTACTACTTCCCTGTCTTCGTGCCGTCAATTTTCAGAATAGGGTCCATTCCGTTCGAGGAGAAGCACCGTATCTACTTCCTCCACCATGCTTGTTTGTGGGCAGGGTATATTTGCATTGAACTTGCTCCGAGCCGTAGAAGGAATTGTACTACGGTCACACAACGGCCACTTGAGGTGACAGGGCGCAAAAATACTAGCACTGTTCAAATGTCTTGCTACAGTCTGCCGACTAGCAATGCTGCCATCGCTGGCACTGAACTCAGCGGCAATGTCAGCCGCAGTGAGGCGAGGGTCACCACTTGACTGAAGTGTTATCCGTCTGTCCTGGGCTGATAAAGCACATCGGAGTCTTCTCGTTCTCTAGGCGTTACAAACAGAGTTTCTGACCTGCTAGCATGGGATAATCGTCTGCTGTGAGTCCTTCCAAATACTTGAAGTGACCGTGACTTTCATGCCTGTTTACTTCATGTCTACTCCTGTCAGTCGAATTCTCTGAGTGACTACTGCCCTTCTATGCATGCCTTGAGTGTACAAGTACTAACGTCGAGCACAAAATGGGTGCAAAAATGCAGTTATCGCTAAACTCGCAATCAGGAAAAATCGCTTCTGTAGTAGAACCTCTGCGCGCAGTCACCTGTTCCCCCGTTCTGAAGCTCAAAAGTATAAATTAGTTTGGTTCAAGGTGAGGTTTGACATATTAAAATTTCCCTTGAATATCTTTACTAGGAAAAAAGTTACGATTGGAAAAGCGTTTCATCGAAAACTTTTAGCCGCCACTGTAAATACCGGCTAAGTTTATGTACTAGTAGCTATTCTGCTTGTAACCTGAATCAATTCAATAAATCTTGTAGGATGGTCTCAATCCGATTTCTAAATGTGAAAATAATAACAGCAAAGACTTGGTGTTATTCCTTACAAAAATGGTGTGGACAACTAAAAAAGTGTAAACATAGTCAGAAAGAGCAGAAGTACCTAATGCTAAATCGATTTCAGAAGAACGCAGAAGACACTACAGCAAGTGTATATTGTTGTGGTGCTTATCAAAACATCACCCACAACGGCCTTACGGATCAGTGCGTCCCTATGCCTAAGATTCCCTTTTATAGCTGAAGAGTTACATTTCTATGAACATCGTTTTTTATGTAAAGTAGCATGAGACAACAGATTCCAATGAAATTCATTAAAGTATGAAAAAGAAAATCAAATTAGCCTTTTGCGTCACAATCTTGTGATATTTCATTAGAATATGTTTTTAAGAGATCAGCATCACGTATTCCAAAAAAGGGTCTTTTTTCAAGCTTTCTTCAAACAATTTCTGCACTTTGCAGAGGTGCTATCTATACGTGAAGTGGGGTAAGATTCCCTTTTTCACCTTTTCTCAACTAGACTGCTGAGAAACCTGTGCTACAGCATGTAGTTTCACACGCTGATATTTTGCGAACTAGTATTGGAATTTAATTTTGGTATTGCAACACAAATGACTTGGGACGGTAGTGTCAGCGATATATTTTGTCATATAATGCTATCATCCAGTTCTTCAAATCCTGAACACTTTCACCAGCTGGAAACCTCGCAGTAAAAAGTAACACTGTTTTGACCTTCCTTTGCATCTCTACAACGTGTGGAAAGCTTGTTTCCAAAAGGATGTTCATGTTCTAAAAATCTTGTATACTTCTGCTAGTCAACGACTCACAACACCATGCATCTTTCTATCTCTCAAATCACTTTTATGCAAAGTGAATAAGTGCCTTTTAGGAATCAGATTAGATTCTTAAAACATTTTTTGTTTCGTTATTGCTGGAGCGTATTACCTCCAGGCTGTAAAAATTGTTTAAAGTATCTACTAAATGTTCATTAATGTGCATTGTTGAAAACCATTAATTCAATATAGGATGCTTGCTCAAAACAGTATGTGTATTTGTTAAGTTGTTGTTTTACAGTTTTAAGCTAATTCTATTGTACTGTGTTCTTGTACCAAGAAACTGAATAAACTTACAAAAGAATATCAAAAACTAACTTAACTGGAAAAAATGGTATCACTCCACGCTGTAAAAACTGAATAACCCGTACGTGAAAAGAGCAGTGGAACAGTGGTAACGAATACGACCGCTTGTCATAAAGATGTTTCCTCCCCATTCTAACAGGAAGTCTTTTGTTTCGTTCTCAGTCTTTTTTTACAAACTATGCAAAGCAATCAGAAAGATGCTATGTTCTCGTCGTGCCCTTTGATGATGAAAATAAATTTAGTCGAGTTACCCATATCGAACAATTAGACCGAATGCAAAAAAACATTTTTATAGACGCATTGAAACAAAGATTTCATGCATACTACGCCTTAGTTCACTTAATGAGGTAAAGAAATGATACTCTGAGATCCATGCAGCAGTTCTCCGAGGTACATAAGAATGTGATAATAACGGTCAAACATATAAAGCATGCAGATCGAAAAAGACGTATAAATAGTGACATTACTCATTACAAACTGAATTGCTTTAACATGATTAAAATTAGATCCCATTGAGAGCTACTAATCGTGAAAATGAAAATAGAATCGATCGAATAGCATTCAAGAGAGAATGGGTTTCCCGAAAAAGGGTAATATTCAATTACCACATCATCGCTCGATCCAGTAATTCTCAATGAAGCTTAACTCATAAAGAATCATCCCTATTGAAGGATTGAATTGTAGATCCCGGAGTCAGCATTAGACACGAATCGATACAACAAACCGAATAATCACCGTAACAAGCAACCGTGTGAACGAGGTCCTTTGCATCTCCCACCATAAAAGGTAAATTGCGTGATACACCCCAACTTTCCATGACTACAGCGGAATCTACACACATGCGATACTTGCACAGAACCTCATAACTGAATGTTGGTGCTTATTAGCCTTATGTTGGCTGTCCATCTAAGAGACGTCCATCTAAGAGACAAGGCTTATGATAAGTGCGCCACCGGCAATTCTAATCCAGTGAAGAGCTTGGGGATGCAGTAGTTCAGAAGAATCGAGAAAAGGCCTTGTAAGAAACAAGGTGAATGAATGGGTTTCTTGCAAACTCTTAGACAGATCATAGAAATTGAGTCAATCAGATCTCATCCATGTTTAGCGGTAAACTTTCCAATTATTAACGATGTTCTTATAAACATATGTAGTCTGATAGCATAACCTTTTCCTTTTCCACAGCAAGGCTAGCATGTGAGTTCCCATAACAAGCTTTTGTGTAAGTAAAAATTTTAAGTTGGACTATCTTGCAGTTTCCATCAAAGGTGGACATGGTCATACCCCTGCTCAACGTTTTCTGTGACTCAAGAGAGTTACAAGACCGAATCATATAGGATCAGTATCAGCGATGGTTCTAGAACATCCCATATAACTTGCCCAAAAGAGCTGCAAGAAAACCTCGTTATAAATAACCTATGAATCAATAAAAGAGATGACGTGAGAAGGCAGAACGATCACAGTAGCTGAAGTGGTTCACAGGCGGACGATGTTCGTAGATGGGAACAGTTTGTGGAAATATTTGAACCTTCAAAAAATCGCTATGAATCAAGGGATAACAGTGCTTTCGCAAATATGGTTAAAGCTGCAACAATAGAATATAATAGAGTATGATAGAGTAAAGCTATCGTAGAGTATAAGTCGAGTTTCAGGTTAGAGAAACGATGTAAACAATTATTCTTTGGTTGTACATATGTATAATTATAAATAATATTAGAACCCCAAAAAACTAGGAGTGGAAAATAACAACCAATGGAAGAGTTATCAACAGCTGCTTCTTGACATCTTACTTAAGTAATCCAAAGCGTGAATGAAGAGAATAGCCGAAACTCACCATGTTGCTCTCGTCGTTTCGAACATTCGGACCCACTTCAACAGCCTCAACATGCTGAACACCAGTCTCTAATTGAGGGGAAAGTTGTTGATCTTCTATCTCATTTGCGTTCTAGAAACACAACAGACATGGTAATATAAAGTAAATACGAATAACAACAGCAACAAATTCACACCCATCTCTTCTCAGTAAACTTCGAATAGTTGTAGAAAACACATCTCACATTTTTATTCATGCCCGTAGCACACTCATTACAATTTATATCCATATCCATTCCACTATCCCGGCGTGCATGGAAATTGCCGGAGTTTGCACTGAATATTCAAAAAATGAACAGCAATGTCGGCTAATTCTACATACATAAGTAGTTACAAAAAGCTGAGCTGCAGAAAGCGCTTACAATGGGGCAACTGGCGACGTCGAAACGACCTTACAACTTGGTCAAGCTTCTATAACCTTACTCATATCGATTTATATAAGCTTCACAGTTTCCAAAGTCCATTATGTCGAATCCTGTCGCCGAGAGTCTTCTCAAAGTGTCCTGCTTTGTCAAGGACCTCATCTACCATTAGATGCGACCATCTACCAGTCTATGGCCAGAAGTGACCGTCATTGGTAACGATGAGATGAGTGAGACCTTAACCTGGTATTCCCACCTAATCCATTACCCACCATAGGGACAAACTAAGGTTAACAGAACTATGGAAATTGCAATATAGCGGGATTAAATGAATGCATTCTTAATAGATGCGACCACTAATATTATTTCGCAGAAGTTTCTGTTCACGGCCTTGTCTATGCCGTTTCTTCATTGGCCACGCTACGTTTGCGACTATGCCTCAGAAACTTCTGTTTATTCAATTCAAATGTATGCCCTACCCGTCTTTTGAAGTGACTAGATCGCCCTCACAACAAACACGTTTCGGCACTGAGGCACAATTGTCTTCGCAAGAGTCCCAGGTGTGGTCGGCATATCGGCGGCGAGTTAACATCGCTTCGATTTCCACTAAAGAAAGTCAAAAAAGCAGTGAAAAGAGCAACCCTCAAAAAATCTGCATAACTTGAAACGAATTGATGGAAACGACTCACTATTCGACCCCACTACCGGTGCTTACTGTCTTGAGGAAGACTTGAACCTAAACAACAGTCAAGTATTGAAAAAAAGCGTAATATGAAATATGGAACCCACTGGGGCACGATAACAAAAACTTCCTCGATGTCGTTGATCGCACTTCGTATTCATTGTAAAGTTCTGCGGCTTGAATTATTTTCCCGCGTGCGCATATTTGAATACAACATGGGCCGCTCTAACTTTACAGTGGCCTTACACGTTGCTGGCTGATGTTCTCCTGCAACTCTTCGCCTAAGTGCTCTCACTAATTATCCTTCTCTCCCCACTAAAATAGCGAATTCGGTACCATATTCTATCCTTGCTATTTGCTACATAATTTCTGCTTTTTTCTGCTTCTGTGTGAGCACATTAGTAGCTCTGCAAAAGATAGGGCTGTAGGTAAGTGGATCCTTATGCAGATCTTCCTCTTGAGCTTTACACCTGTTGTCGTGAGCATATAGCGTCATGACCCTGGTGTGATTTCAAGAGGGAGGCAAAAATTATTACTGATTACTTCACAGTGTGAAGATATCTCATGGGTGATTTCATTCCATTCTCCACAAATCATAATACTAAACTAGTATTCCCGAAGTTAATGATGCCTGATACTGATTCGCTGCTAGTATCCTCGTGGTTTCCTAGGCATAAAAGTTACCTTGGGTTGGTTTGTCTGACGTCTGTTAACCTGACGGTTTGCATATTTGCATATCTCACCGTCCGTAAGAATCTACACTATTATTATCAAGGTTAAGATATGGGAAACACTATTCGAAGTGAGTTAGATAGTAATTAGGAAGAAGCTGAAAGGACAGCTTTAGGTGTGGGTGAGGACACTACCTATTTTACAAGCGTTCCAACTTTGCCTTGTTAATTGTGTTGTATCCAGTGTTGGTACATTTCAGCACTGTGATTCGATAGCTTTCGACAGCGCCTCTTTCAGTACTGTCATGATTGGTTATGTTGCACTTATAACTAATGGCCTTCTGCAGTAAATAACGCACTGCGAGTTGTGAATGGATAGGATTCTTAAGTTATTCTAACTAAAAACAGCAGCTTAAGAAGTCATCAATGTGTTGTTCTCCAACGATCTCAGTGTTTGACAGCGAGTTTTCCGCGTCCTAATGGAGACGGGGTGGTTTCAGATGCACGCTTAAAAATGTGAATGGAGAAGGAGGCACGCAATCCAGTCCAACAATCAAGCTCACTTCGTCTTGACTGCACTTGCCTCGAGAGTTAAAGGGAAATAAAGGATAAAGTTTTTGCCGTTAATCACTCCCGTCTGAGGGATGCGCCCCCGCACTCGACTTCCATTCAGAATCGTAGTGGTGTAATGAGTACGCATGTGGCCTATACAATGACTTGCGGTGGCCAGCCGATGTACAAGTCTGTGCTTTTACACCCAGACAAGTCTGGTACCAATCAAACTACACGGAAGGGATCCCGGAAGGGATGTAAGGCTGAGTTAGTCTAGGCAGATATCGACTCGCGATTCGAACCGGTGACCAGAAACCTACGAAGTAAAAGCACAATGAACCTGTCTGCGCATGAGTTTGAATAGAATAAAGGGAATAAAATTCAAATTTAAGGACCCGATCTCTTCCTTGAAACCATACGAGGGTCGTGGGTGTAACTCTTGAGAAGAGGACCTGTACAATGTTTGCGTGCCTCCAGCAATTTACTTTGCAGTGACAGTGTCCACAGATCTATTAGTAGAAGGAACAAGGTGGGAATAGATATAAGAGATATCGGATTCATTAATATTGTGGTCAGCAGAGGAATGTTACTTGAAAGGGGTACACTAGTAGTAGAACCGGCAACACGAATGACCCTGCAAGGTCAAAGCGCTCCAATAGTGAATGCATTCAAATATGCGTGCGCGTGGGAAAATAATTCTAGTCGCAGAACCTTTCAATGATAACGATAAACGCGATCAGGTCCTGTAACCAATCAAACAGCGGCGCTGGCGACTATTAATTGATTTCCATGAGTATTGGCTCCGTTTTAGTAATTGTTATAATTTCATCAACAAGGTATGAATTTTTGAAATATCGAAATTTCATCAAGTCACCAATGGATTTGATCAGACAACCTTTGGTTTCGGAATGGTAATCTGCAATTCGAAGTTGTATTCAGCAAGATCTCATGCCTTTCCCTAATTGCTCGTCGTTCATACAGTTCCATGATTGGCTCAACTGCTTCGCCTACGTGAAAAACACATTATCAGATGAAGTCGTGCCGAAAGTTGGCGCTAAGGTTTGAGTTCATCTCTAATAAACCTCTGCTGTTAATTGGAGCTGATCATTATTCAGAATTTCTCGGGTCCTCTACTCGGATACTTCCTGATACGCCGTGCTGGTGAACCACATTGTTTCCTTTATGTGCAGATATTCGGGAGCCTTCCTTTTACACATGTTTTCGTGAACAGGAAGCTTGCTGTTATGGCTGGATTCGACAATAATATCGAAGTGGGATGCCTTCTGCTTTTCAAATTAATCCCTCCGGTAAAGACGACGTTTAAGGTAATTCTGGAACAAATCACTCCTACAATATGTACATCTCTTGAAGTAGTTCCACTATCTCAACACGACTACGAATTACTCGTAAGTGAATTGCCCAATGCTACGAGGTTTCCAATAATCGTATTGAAACGTGTTGTGTTATGATTCACAAAGACTCTGAACCGATACGGCCAAAGTTCTAAATTTCTACTCGTCGCAGGTGGTTCCTGTGATGGGAGCCAAATTCCATGCCGCAGTGGCCTATTTGTCCAGATAGAATGAATTATGGTGCTGAAGAGTATGACTGATGGTGTGTACGATACCTTCTTTACCTTTTCTCCAGTAAGGATTTGACTAATACGAGTTTCCCTTGTGATCGCATTGCTTGCTGTATTTGACCTATTTTATCTTTAATTGGCATAAACGAAACAGTTTTCACCATCATTTGGATTCTCCAACTTTCTACCATAATGTGTTTCCTGGAACGATGACCAAATTTGCATAATGCCAGTTTGTTATTTCTAAGCTCCTAAACTTGTTCTCGGTTTTGAATGAGCTATTTGGTATTGATCATTCCCTTTTCGATATGTGCTCGTGCATTGCACCTAAGCGGAAAATCGAAGTGGCCTTTGAGTGCGTGTCAAGTTTGTTCAATGAACTATAGGGACCGAGCGATATTTTAACCATTGGGTACCGAAATCGACTCAGAAAGGAACGTTGCACCTATTGAAACATGGTCCCCGATTCGGTCCTTAGGCCATGCCGCGGCAGCGACGACAGATGTAGTTTCCCACTCTGTGCATCTGGCATCTTTCTTCGAATAGAAGACATCTTCCAATCATATTAGTATGCTGTACTGCTTCAACTGCTGTATGCTAATTTCGCATTTACATTATTTTACGCCACGGATGCCTTCACGGGGGTTCTTCCGCACTGAAGGATCGCTAGCCGATTTATGGCGGCGCAACGCCGCGAGCCAGAAGGCCACAAGTTAAAAACGTGGACGAGAAGTCATCGGTACTTGCGCAGAGACGTAGATTTTTTCGGGGGATGAGCTGTTTCTGTTGTGGATTTATTCATTCTGCCTCCTTGCAGCTGGATACATGTACTCTTGGGTTTGCGGGTGCGGTTGGGACCCTGCACATTGATCCAGCCAAAACAGCCGGTTGCATTGCAGTGAATGGGAAGTAATTGAGATGCATTTCGTGGTTGCCCCCCTGAAAAATTAGTCCCTCGTTCACTCTGTGGTAGCCAAGCTAGTGTTCTAGTCGAGTGACGGACAGAGCGGAGGGCATCAAGAGCATCCTCCGAATCCTTTAGAATTTCTGTAGACAATGGGGTATGCACAACGTCCAGGGCAGGGAAGAGAATAGTTCCCCCAAAGAAATATTTGCTTGGCCGTGGGTCAAATAAGTAACGCCGGGGCGCAGTATTTCACGTCTCCAGTACAGTGTTAAATTGATATCCGAAGTTCGTGTTTTTCGATTAGATGAATCGGAATTTGGAGAGAATGTGGATTTTTGCCCTAGGAAGCAGTCCAACAGTAAACTATATCCTGAGAATGCTCAAGGAAGTAGCTGATATTTAGGATGTTCTGCGAAATACACTTGGAGGGTTGTGGGAATCTTGAACCGGGCGTCCAGTTATCGCGCATCTGAGTAAAAAGTAGCCTTAGTTAGATGAAAAAAATTAAATATTCATACAACGCTCCCGTGTCGTAATTGTGTTATGATTGAGTAAATGAAGAGGACAACAAGAAAGTGAGCGTTCAGAAAAAAAGCCTCGAACAAATTAAACTTGCAGAACTTGTATCAGATAAATAGTTGGTGTTGTGGTTGCTAGTAGTAAAATAGTCATCAAATACATTCAACGGAAGAGTTGGGCTATTTCACACCTTTTACAGGATTTCTGAAGATTCAGGGCTGAATACAGCGCCATGAGAAGCGGTCGCTAGAATTATATCATCACTGAAAACAGTTCCTCCACTCTTCATCCTTTACAATTCTACGCCATCCTGGGCTCGGGAATCTCATACCTCGGAAACCCTGCATATGCACAACCTTCGACAGTGCTTATGCACTTTACACTGCGATCCTCATTGGCTGATACTTCACCTCTCCTAATATACAGAGTGGGCCAGAATTATGATTACAGCGCGCGCTGACGCTCATAGCAATTTTTTTCTGAGTTCGTGACAGTTCGTTCGCTTCCTTAAAGTCTACAAGGTAGATTACATTATTACCTTTCTAATTATACTAAACTTTTGGTAGATTTTGAAAGTAAGGTAGGCGTCGCTACCCTATGAAGCAATCGTTGCCTTGCATTTTCGAGCACTTTTGGCACGGTGCATCTACAGACGACTCAGCGTAACAAGGCGGGTGGCACATTCAACCATAAGACACTTTCAAAAGTTGGGAACAATTGCAGATGGACGTGGTAAACCTAAGAGGCTCGCGGTTAGATTTACAGCGAAGATCATTCTGATCCCCAAATGGCTGAATGAATGGATATCTTATGAAGCTTTTTGCGCGAAATCGTGAGGCATCATATGCACGATCAGAAAATGATTTCCCCATTGAGCAGGCTAAAGAGAAGAGAAAGGTTGTTCTGCAAAGCTGCCCCACCGCATCCAGAAAAATTGTCATTCTGTATTCCCGTTAACCGACGAAAAGATATTCATGATGAAAAAGGTGCTCAATGAGCAGGGCAACAAGACCTGGATGAAACTGTAAGAAATGGAGGTGATGCAGTGCAGGGCTCACTGACTTTCTGCGATGGCCTTTGCGAGCATAACCGCCGAGTCAAAGCCAGCGATTATTTTTGCAAGTAAAGGAGCGAAAGTTGATTTGGAGGCCTGTTCGATTTCGTTATGCGCAATAGGGCACTTCGGCGATTCAAACTGGACATATTGTGGAGATGCAGCTCCCGACCGCAGATCAGAAATTGTCAAGAAATATTGTAAAAGAGATTCCCTGACCTCACAATTTTCGATCAGTGACCACTCTGGAGGCCTGACCTAAATCCCATGGATGTCCCAGTGTGGTCAGCCTTTGAGGTCAAAGCGTCCGTTAGCCCAAGCAAGAAATGAAATGGTCTCGAAAATGCTTGGCAAAAAGCCGGGATCAACTTGATGACCTTAGCTGCGTGTCACCGTCAACGCCGTCCATCGTCGTCCCTGGGGTTGGGTGAAAGCAGAAAGCAAAAGGGCCCAGTTCCAATGTTTTTTCGATAAAAGATTAGTGATAAACACTTTCCTGAAATTGGTTTGCTTCTTTAGCTTTCTATTCGTTTTCGAGGATGTGATGTCTGTGTAATCATAATTTTGGCCCACCCTGTACACTCCTCGTCACTATCACTAATGTCCTTTGGTAGATATACTTCGGCCCAAATTGGTCGTATCGAAGCATCTCACTTCGTTCCAGCGTCTATTTCACCAATGATGTCCTCATACTTCTTGTCCGACATGCTTTTTTTCCATGCGCTGAACTTTCTCATTTTTGCTATCAACATACATCTACAACTTTCACCTTTCGTTCTCATATGAAGAATCTGGATAGCATAGTAAGATTCGAGTGCAAGACTTCCATGCAAAGGTCCACATATCCCTTTTCAAGGCAGGGATCGAAAAAGAATGAGGAGCAAAGTGACTAGAAGGTCGCCAGATGTACATAGAATAAGACGTAATAGGATATGAAATATTATATAAGGCAGTCGAAAAACTACCTACTAGTTGCTGAAAGAAATAATTCTGGTTTCCTTCTCAAATCACACAGGATCATGATGCAAAAATACGATAACTGGTGTAAATCTAGAAGGAAAACCTGCTTATCTGAAACTTCAACTACTCCATAGCATCGAGTGCAGCAGTACAAGTGAATTGGTTCTGTCGTCTGTCGTTCTGTCTGTCTGTCTGTCTGTCTGTCGTGTGTCTGTCACGAAATTCCTTAGCTCCTTTAGTTGGCTCTGTCGGGTCAAGCGTGGGATGGGTGGGCCATATCCCGAGAAGTATAACGCACACATCAGTTTGGCGGAGCCCACAGTGGGCGTCGCGTGCATCGAAATGAGGTGTACTGAGAAGCATGACTTCAATTTCAGTCCCAAGACGGCTTCAAAATTGGGGTGTAAAGGTGGCTAGAGTGTGCATTGGTAAGTCAGATCCAACTGCGAAGACCCACCCCCGGTGGGTGGGGCGTTCTCCAAAAATGCAATGCTTTATGAAAAGATTTTGGAAAATCATTACTCCTGTCCCCGGGGCCTTAAAAATTCAATCTTGGTAGGAGTACAGGCGACGGGATTAGAACACTTATGCTGGGTGGCAGGACCAGACTCCGTCCACAGGGGGCGGGGTTTGAGCAGAAGTTCATAACTCCTGTCCCCGCGGACTTAGAAAGTTAACTTGGTAAGAGTACAGGCGACAGGATTGGAACACTTATGGTGTGTGGCAGGACCAGACTCTGGTAGTACAGGCACATTTTCCACTATCATTCGAACGGATTTCTAGAGATCTCAAGCTGTTCCGCCATTTTGTTCATGCTTTGATCATCTTACGGTCAATCCTCTTCCCTATAATACTACGCATCTTCCTTGGATTGACATTCCGCTTGCTTCGTCTTCCCGATTTGGTCAGGACGTATCCTTCATCTTTCCATTGCTACACAGTCTTCTGAGCTGTTCTAAGAGGAATCCTGAGCCAGACTCCGCCCACAAGGGGCTGGGTTTGAGCGGAAACTCATAAATCCTGTCCCAGTGGAACTAGAGCGTTCAAAGTTTGAATCCGATGAAGGTCTATAATGAAAATCAGCTCATTTGGCTCCGCCTCTCATGGCTAGAGCCCCTAGCGCACGTGATAGCGTGCGTGGCCTCCTTGTGAAGTGGATAGCGGGGTCACGGTAACGATGACCATCGGCGCCCCAGCGCAATTTTAGGGGTGGATTCATCCCACGCCCTGGATAGGAGGGTCCTTTTTCCCACGGTGGGGAGTGAATGGGGTCGGGCTTCTCTGAGCTCTCGCTAAGGTAAGGTCGCGGAGGCAAACGTCACAAATTACCGAGGGCAGTCTATTCTTCACCTGTTTTTAGGGAGAGCTTTGCTCCAATGCAACT